TGTGAGGGGTTGGCCATGTCAGATGTAAGTGGGAGGTGGTGTTACTACTGTTAGGATGAGCACTGAGGACCTATTTGACTTCCTGGCCTCTCTGTTCCTTCCATTGCTCACACAGGGATCTTCCTATTGGACATGGCCCCACCTCTGGCCTCTGGTATCACTCAGAGTATCTCACCAACAGGCTCCTGAGCAGTTCCCTCCCTGCCCAGCCTCTTGCAATACCTTCTTTCTTCCTAAATTGACCAAATGTCCAGGTTTGCCTAGACTTGAGGGGTTTCTGGATGCAGGACTTTCAGTGCTAAAACAGGGTCAGTTCCAGGCAAACAGGGACAATGGGTCACCTTCCTGCCCTCCCCACCCCCAGGCTGCTTCCTCTTCCCCTCAGTGAACATGGTGTCCAAGCATTTCAACGCTCTCTTTCGCCCTGGATGACCTCTCCTGCCTTGAAGCCTCTAGTCCCGGGCATGCCACTCAGAGATGGGGCATGCCACCCCTGGCCATTCCAAAGACCCTTCCCCCTTCTCAGGGGGCCAGCCAGCTCTCAGCAACCCCTTAGCCCTCTGTTGGGCTTCTGTCCTCTCTACCCCTCAAAACTGTGCCAGACCTTTTCCCTATCCCTACAGGATGTGACCCCACCCACACCACACCCCTATGAGAGGCCCCTGGGATGAGCTTCAAGGGGGAAGAGTACCTGTCTGTCCCCTCCAACCCTCTCTGCCTTCCCAAAGGAAGGAGCACCTGAGCACACACAGGCAAGCCCGGTCTGCACCCCACATCCATGAGGGTCTGCAGGCCTGAGTCCTTGATGTTGTCTTGGCCCTTCCCCTCTCCACTGTGCTCACCCCAAGTCATGCCAATACTCTGAGGACTCCTGCTCACTCTCCCTGCACCCCCACTGCTCTGCCTGGCCCAGACCCCTTCCTCCAGGCTCTGGACACAGCTTCCTACTTGTATGCTTGAGTGTTCACCTCCCTGTGCCCTCAACCAGGCGAAGCACACAGTAGGTGCTGCTACTGCTATGGGCAAGCCCTGATGGGGGCAGCACTTGGCTTCTCGTGTGGGCAGCTCTGGGGAAAACACTCTGAGTCATCTTTGCAGCCACCAAGGAAAAGAAAGTCCCCTACAAGGGAGACCCCAGGGGGTCAGTTCCACACAAGGGTTCACTTCCCACTGCTGGGCCTAAAGCTGGAAGGCTTTAGAGACCCCAGCCCTGGGTGTGCCTTGGAGAACAGAGTGGAGGGCTGGGTTCCCAGGCCATCTTCCCTTTTGCTTCCTGATACCTCAAATGACTTTGGTCCTGCCCCTCTCTGGCATGTGTATTCTCGGGAGAGGCGGGGCCCAGACTTTGTCCTGGCACCTGGAGCCTGCCCAGGGCTAGTCCCTCTGGCTCAATCTCATGCACTCTGAGTCTTCTCCACCCAGAGCCAGGCCTGGCCTGACCTGAAAGGCCTGCACATACCCTTGTCAGTAGGAGTTAGCACAGCAGTTTCTTGAGCCAGGAATGGCCAAGGGGGACAGTGGAGGGAGGGCTTTGTAGGAAAGGAACACTGCTTTAAGCCGTCTTCTCGCCCCTTCCCATTTGGAGGGCCGCTGCCTGGAAGTTGGGCTCTCATGCAATCTAGCTCCTCCCACCCTCTTCCTTAATACTCACCCACCCACTCAGAGCTGGCTAGTGGCACCAGTGATGTCTAAGGGCACAGCCTCTTTGAAACACAGATGCAACTGGAAACCAGCAGGGCACCTGCTTCCCTGCCCAGCATTCCTCCTCCCAACTCCAGCAGCTGCTGGAATGGTTCCTAGGCACTGGGATGTGAGCGTGGAACTGAGCCTGGTGGGATCCAGAGGCAGGTGAAGCACAGGGACTGCTTCCAGGAGCACCAATGTTAGCTGCAGAGAGATGGCAGCCAGAGCAGGGATTTCAGAGGGAACAGGGCATAGGGAGGAGAGCAGGCAGGGAGGACTCCCTGGAGGAGGTGGGCAGGAGCCCAGTCTTGCAGGATTTGCTGGCAGGGAACAACATGAAGGGAAGCACAGAGAGGATGCTGAGGAGGTATCTCAGGATCTCCCCCACCAGGTCACAAAAGGTCTCCATTTTCTAGAGGTCTTCAATGTGTTCAGTCCCCAGCAGGCTGGCAGGAGGCAGCTGCTGGAGTGCCTCAAAGGGTGCTGTGGTGGTAGCATCCAGAAGGTAGCTGTCAAGGTTATCCGAGGCAAGAAGAAAACTATTTTGAGCTTTACTCTGGGTCACACATTGTTATAGATAAGTACAGATGTTACTGCGTTTTTTCATTTAACCTGTCAATGACTCAATGAAGTAGGTACCCTTCATTTTATAGATGAGGACCAGAGACATAAGGAACTTACCTAAAACCACATAGCTAGTAAGGGGTGAAGATAATTTGGAATCCACGATTCCACTCTGCCTCGTTTGATGACAAGGCTGAGGAAGGGCAAGGAGTGCTTGTATTTAATGACCAGCCATGGTCAGGGGTAGCCATTCTGGAAACCGTGAGCAGGGTCTGAGTAGTGCAGGCTCGATGGGTGGGGCCTCAGCGTGTGGTCCAGAGGGTCTTTTCTCCCCTGCATGCTTCCCTCCTCTTTTCTTCCTCAACAAGAATCCCCAGACTTGCAGCCATCTTGTCCTTGGGTTGGCTCTGGGTCTGTGTACCACAGGCCCGTAATACCTCCCAAAGGGAAGAGATGTAACCTGGACCCTTGAAGTCTCCGGGCAGCTGCTGGAGTTGGGAGGAGGAATGCTGGGCAGGGAAGCAGGTGCCCTGCTGGTTTCCAGTTGCATCTGTGTTTCAAAGAGGCTGTGCAGCCTAGGCAGATGGGGCTACCTTTCTGGGCCTTCCCATCTCCATTCTCGTGGAGGTGGGAGGTGGGTGTTACAGAGGCTTGAGGTAGAGGAGCTGGAGAGCAGGAGCCAGGGGAAATCGCTCCTCCCCAAACCGGGCTTTGTAACTCTGCTGCCCCCTAGTGGTGGCATGGAGTAACAGAGACAGGCTAATCCAACATCAGGCAGGCCATCTCCCTGCCCCCAGGCAGGGAAGGAGGGTTCACTCTTAGTGGCCTTTACCAGCCACCTCCTCCCTCAGGGCTGCATGCGGTCTGGATGAAAGAAAGGCAACCAGAGCCTATACATAAGATCCCCACAGCTGTGCCCAGGATTGCATGGGTTATTAACTCATATATTCATTCTGCAAGTGGGAGGGTCTATAGTTTGCAAGGGCACAGTGCCAGGCCCTGGGGATCTAGGGGCCCTTGGCAAACCTTTTCTGCCCTCAGAGAGCCTCTGTTCAGTGGGAGAGCACACCGGCAAGTCGCAGACTCTGGAGAAAATAGCAGAATGTGGGGCTGTTCCAAGGTGTGACATTGTAATACTTGGGAAGCACACGGTGGAAACTGTGGGGCCCTGACTGTTGGTTTGTCCCAGGCACGTGGGCCTCCAGTCTGGTGGGCTTAGAGGCCTTTGCTACTGGGTCAGTGGAGTCTCTCCTTGTGGGTCCTTCCAGAAGAGTTGGGTCACCCTCCCCATGGAATGGTTAGATTTCTACCTGTGCCTCCCTTTCCCTTGGCTGGGGAGGGGACCGAGGGAGACAGCAGTTCTTGCCTCACCCCTGCAGCCTCTTCTATCTATACCCCTCCTCCTCAGACCTGGTCTGGAAGCCTGGTTTCCAAACATGATGGAGAACGTTAGGTCTCAGCCGCATCTCCCCCTCCTAGCCTGATGCTCTGCGGGCCTCCCAGCTCCAATATCGTGACACTGTGTGGGCAGCTGATGGGAAGCTTGACTGCCACGCCACCAGGGCTCTGTCCCTGGCCTTCGGAGGCTCCGCTGGAGCTCAGCAGCCTGTGGGGGGCGGCGCATGGAGAAGGTGGGAGATGGAGCGAGCATGCGTGAGAGAGAGGCCCAGGGCAAGGAGCCTGGGTGCGTCATGTTGCTGGGAAAGTAGATGAGTCTGACTCAGTGGGAACATCCGGCAGGAATGGAAGAGAGAAGGCAGTGGCATTTCCAAGGGAGCTCTGGGGCTGTGCAGATTGGGTGTGGGGTTAGGGGTGCTGTGTGAAGGCCTGGCCAGGAAAGAAGCTAAACATGGTGGGGAAAGGAGGGCACACAGGAAGGGTGGTTCAAGGGGAGCAGAGGTTGGACCTCTGGCTGATCTGGGGAAGACAGAGAGTGCAGTGGGGCTTTCTGCTCTGGAGACAGAAGGGGACAAGTCACAGCATGGGATTAGGGAAACTGAGGCCTTGTCAATCAGGAATGTAGGGAATGCAGAGACCTCTGACCCCCTCAGGGCCCGGAGGCTCTCAGGGTGGGACTGCCAGGCAAGCTGCTCCCCTGGGCAGAGGGACCAGCCTTAGCTGTACAAGGAAAGTTCAGGGAAAGACTTTCCCAAGAAAGGCTGCTTTCTTTTTCTGGGTGAGAGAGGCTGAAAGGGCCAGCTCTAGAGAGCAAGGCCAGGAAGGGCCCAGAGTTTGGAGCCTGAGGAGGGAAGGCCTGTGGCCAGCTGTGAGCTGTGGTGGCAAGGGCCCTTCACCCCATACCAAAGAGACACAAACAGCTGAGCCTCCTAGGAGGGGCTGTACTTTAAAATACAGGAAAGACAATGTTCAGCCTAAAGGAATGAATGACTAATGGTGTTCTTTTAGGTATGAGGTAGTATTTGGTAGTGTAGGGGAGGGGAGCTTCTTGATCCCTTTGAATTATTTTAACTGGGGCTGGTGAGGAGAGTGAGGTGGGGGCCTCAGACCAGGGAGCTGGGTCCTGCAGGTCTTTCTCTACTAATGGTCGGGGCGAAGGCTGCCCATCTGTCCGCAGGCAGGCCCAGGCTGGGGCCTTGCTGGGGCACAGGGCCTTGGGGAAAGCAGGGCCTGGGGCAGCCATGTCCCCTGTGTAGGCTCAACCTGCCAGGGGAGGTCCGTGTTGGTCTGTCTGGGAACGCTGGGGCAGGTCAGGGAGAGGTGCTGGGCAGGACCAGCTCGCCCTCTGAGAGTGGATGGGTGGGGGCAGTGGCCCAGGCGTTCCTGGCTGGGAGCCCAGAGGAGTCTTTTGTAATCACAACATGATCTCGTGTGCTGAGCAGCGAAGCCGGCAGGGAGAGGCCGGCAGAGGCCTGGCTCCAGTGGCTCCAGCGTCCCTCCTGCTTTGGCTCCCCCGGGGCTGCTCTGGAATTCTCTTCGTACCCGCTGTTGCCATGCACTCAGCTGTGAGTGGCACCTGGCCCTTTGTGGAGGGCTCCTTGGGGCTGGGAGAGGGTTGAGACACCAGGAAGCCATACTCTGATGGCAGCTGGGGACAGCTGGGCCTGGGAGGAAAAGGGCTGTGCCTAGGCAGGTGGGGGGCTGGGGAGGGGCACTGGTGACAAGGGAGACCCTGCAGCCAAACAGGGAGGGACCTGGGCGTCCCTGGAACTGGCTTTCTCTTGTGTCCACTGCCAGCAGCTCACGGGCTGGAGAGGCTGGCCCCTGGGAGCGGCTCTTTCCCACAGGCTGGGCATAGGCTTGAGAAGTGGGGTCCAGGGCCTGGGAGTTCAGGACGGATCAGGGGCCTCTCTTCTTACTGTGGTTCTGGGCCTGGGAGCCAAACAGCTCACTCCTCGACCTCCTGAATCCCCTGGCAACTTCCCAGTCACGGCAGGTTCCGTTGCCAGAGCCATTTATAACTCCCATTCCAGGCTGTGCTCAGCAGTGGAGCTCCCTGGAGAGCCGGGGGAGGGGCAGCCCACTGCTGGGAGCTGTAGGCCTGGGTACAAGGCCCTGACCTGAGCCCAAGAATGCAGAGTGATGGGCAGACAGACCAGGTGGGGTGGGGGCTTGGGCCTTCTCTGTGCCATCTCCCCTTGTGACCCTAGCTCTGGGGCCTGTTCCTTAGGTGGTAAGAATCTGGTTGGGTGGGAAAGTTGGGGCACTAGTAAGGGTTGGGCCCAGCAGTTAGCAGCGTGGACCCCTGCCCTCTGCAGGGGTCACATGGGGCCGAGTCCCCGATGAGTAGGCAGGAAGAGAAGGATGCCGAGCTGGACCGGAGGATTGTTGCTCTTCGCAAGAAGAACCAGGCCTTACTACGCAGGTACCAGGTGAGTGGGCTGTGCCAGGGGCTGTGAGGACCGACTGGGTTGGCACACCCCATCTGACCGCCAGACCCTTGTGTGGTGGTCTCCCCGTGAAGGCTCAGCCTGGACATAGGGTTAGGGTGGGTGTGGTCCATCTCAGAGGCTCTTTGAGGGTCTTGGGGACTCTGTGATGTGGTGCCTCTGCCCCCTGGTGTCCCACCAGTGTCTCTCTGTGTAGGCCTGTCAGTGTGTGTGTCTCTGTGCTTCTGGGGGCCATGGCCTGTGCTGACCCTGGGCCCTCTCACAGGAGATCCAGGAAGACCGTCGGCAGGCAGAGCAGGGGGGCATGGCTGTGACCACGCCACCAGAGTTCCTCCCATCTGATAGCCTCACCGTCACCATCAGCCAGGTTCCCGGGGTAAGCCCCACCTGTGAGACAAGGCAGGGTGGCTAGGAGGTGGAGGCCCCAGCCCATGGCAGGGGAGGACAACCGCCCCTTCTCCTCTGCTTCTCCCACTTACAGTTCTGGGGTGCTCTCCAGCTCCCAACCTCATGCAGCCCAGGCCACTGCTGTCCCCCCATCCCCGAAGGGCCACAGATGAACGGCCAACAAATAGAAGCCTCCTCATACCCCTTTCCAGCCCCAAAGCCCTGTACGTAGGTCTCAAAGCTCAGGCTATTCCTAAACCCCAAACCCCAGGGGTCAGAGAACTGGTGCCAAATGGTAGGAACAGTGGACAAGGGACAAAGCCCCATTGTCTGAGTGCTCTGTATTTCCCAGTTCAGAGATGACGGGTCACTGTGGCATCTTGGGCCCCAGGGTGGCCCTAGGCCTCGATAACCTAATGCCAATGGCATGCGAACACCCCGTGGAGTCAGCTTCTTTGTGGGCATTCAAGGGAGGGCCAGGGCTGGAGCCCGGCCTGGGGAACCACCCAAAGGACCCAACCCCCAGCTCCTGCCCAGCACTGCCCACAGGGGACAGAGCACCTCATTCTGCAGGGGAAGCGAGTGGTCAGCCGGAACTGGGCAAGGAGCACCCTTGGACCTGGAGCAGCAAATGAGCTGCTTGAGGGTGAAGAGGCGGAGGACCACATTGATACTTTCTGCCTGGGGGAGCGGGTGGAGCTGGCCGTGACCATGGAAAACAAAGCCGAGGTGAGCAGGTGGGTGGGGGAAGCCCAGCTCCCAGGCATGTAGCCTCTTCTCCCCCAGCTCTGCCACACTGTCCATACTCACCTCCCCAGGCCAAGCGGATCGTAAGTGAGAAGCCCACCAGAGCAAGGAACCAGGGGGCAGAAGGGTCACCTGGAGAGGGCTTGGGCCGGAGCTCCTTCATGCAGATGGCTGGCGGCTTGGATTCTGCAGGGAAGGTGTATCTTCAAGAGGGGACGGGGACATGAACATGGTGGTGCCCATTTTGGGGAAGGCCAAGAAGCTGAGTCACATATGTCCCCCATCTGTGAGGACATGGCTAGGTAGCACTAGCAAGAATTCCCATCCCTTCTTCCTTTCTCTGGCTAGTCCCTATGTTGGGTGGGCCTTGTGGTGAGAGACGGGGTAAGCCGGAGGTGTGATCCAGCCCCTTACCCTACCTGGACCTCTGATGGCAAGTGGGTGGGGCCTTGGGTGGGGTCTGGAAGGGCCCGGGACTGGCTATGTGCCAGGTACGACCTCTAGGTGGCAGCAGCACCTAGTTCTGGCTGTTGCTCACAGCTGCTCCACCCCCTGCCCCTTCACCTTGGGCCTAGCCACACATCCCTGCAGCAACCCTGTGGATAGGTGCTATTATTATCCCCATTTTACAGGTGAGGAAATGATACACAGAGAGGTTAAGTAATCTTCCCAAAAGACACAGCTAGCAAGTGGATGGAAACCTACTGCAAACAGCAATTAGAGATGGAACACATTTAATATTTAGATGGGGACAGCAAAACCTTGAGAGAGGAAGGGGTTAGTAGACTCTGGGTTTCCATTCCAAGCCCAAGGCTTTTTCTGCTTCTACTGCATGGTTCTGAGTGTCTTCTCCTGGCAGGGTGCTCGGGAGCCCCGGAGTCCAGGCAGGGTCCCAGGCTCAGCTCCCCACCGGCCAGTGTGGGGGCCTCTAGAGGTGGGCTGGGACTATGCCCAGTGGAAGCAGGAGCGGGAGCAGATTGACCTGGCCCGTCTTGCCCGGCACAGAGATGCACAGGGTGACTGGCGCCGCCCATGGGACCTGGACAAAGCCAAGCCCACGTGGGTGGCAGGGCAGGGAGGCTTGTTGGGCTGATGTGCTGTGGGGTTTGGGGTAGGGCTAATTGTGGGTGCTTCTTGGAGGGCTGGTGGGACCTTCCCCAGGGTGGTGAGGGTCTGCCTTCGCCTTCAGGTCAGGGCTCTGTGTGGGCACTGGGTCCCCCATCTTTCTTGGGCCCATCATCTCCCTGCTGCCCTCAGTTCTGGGGCTGGGGCTGGGGCAGGTGGGGTAGGTGTGGGTCTTGCCGCAGCCTCTATCCTGCCTGCACCAGCAGCCTGACTACCTCTCTCTGTCTCCACAGGCTACAGAACTCCAGCAAGCCTCTGGAAGAGGGCCCCGGCAGGGCAGGCAGCACCAGGGGTGAGCCAGGACCCCACACATCCCCTTCCCCTCCTTGGCTCTTTTTATCCCTTCCTCTCTTTTCCCTGTCTTTTGGTTTACTATTTGTTTTAGAGCTGGAAGGAAGCGTGGAGGAACATCTTCCTTCCTCTCTTTTGCTGTCAGAGGAGGTCACCATGACCTCCCTGCCTATCCTTCAAAACCACAACTCCTGCACAGGGTTCTGACCCCAGAATGTCTGGGGAGATGGCTCATGAGGAAGTCTGTGCTGGGGCCTGCTGAGCTGTTGGTTCCTCATGTGTGAAAGCCCTAGTTTCCTTCCCCTGGCCGGTTGTAGGAACAGAGCTCTGCGAATCACTGGTCCTCTGATTTTATACATGAGGAGGCTGGTGCTGGAGAGGCTGGCCAGTCACTTAGCCAGGAGTGGCAAAGTGAGCACAGGGACCCAGCTCTCCTGACCTCCAGACCAGGACTCTATTTGGGAGCCAGAAAACCCGCAACTGAGCCAAGAGAAGGACTGACAGCTTCTTGGTCCTGGGAGAACTGGCGTTCCTGCTCCAAACTGGTGTTTGGATCCTCTGTCACCCTACCCTTTCTCCATTGCCTTTGCCCCACTTAGGTCACAGGAGCCACCTGAAGCTACAGCCCCCACCATTGCCCCCTGATGGCAAAGGTGAGTTGGGAGAGGAGAAGAAGCTGGGTCCCTCGAGCTGGTGAGGGAGCTGGGCTGCTAAGGCCCTCTTCTTGCCTTGATTTGTGGACCATTTCTTGCAGGTGGCACTACTCGGGGTGGGCCATCTAGCAGACCCTCAGTGGCACCGGTCACACGCAGCAAAGCCCGAGGGACGGAGAGGCTGACTGGCAGGGCCCGCAGGTATCAGGTGGCAGGGGGCAAAATCAAGGGAGGCATCTGGGCTCTCTGATTTCCTGGCTCTCCTTTGCCCCAGGAATTGAGGACCCACACCGGCCCTTGGGGCTTGTCTCCTGGTTGACTGCTGCCTGCTGCCTGGTGGCAGGTTAATGAGATGCAGGGAGAGGCCATCAGTGAAGGCAGCAGCAGCAGCAAGAGCCTGGTGCCCAGGGAGGCCAGTGGTAATTACAGCAGTTACCTTCCCCCGGGAAGGCAGGTGCCTTTCGCAGGCAGTGCAGGCAGGGACATGCCTGGAGTCTCCACAGAACTCAAGGTGCTACAGGCTCGGCCATAAACAGCAGCTGGGGACCTGCTGCACTAAGGAGGGCAGTGTTCAGAGGAAACAGATGAATTTGGGGAGCGAGGCGGGTTGGAAAGGAAGCATCCTGGAGCCTCGTTCTGGCTCTGATGCTCCTGAGACCCTGGGAACATGGGCCACCTACTGCAGTGCTGGTGACGTGAAGTGGGGTGGATAAGAGTAGCGCCCACCATGTGCTGTGTTTCTATAGGTGGGAGACAAAGGAAGACAAGGAGGAGGCACAGAGCCAGGAGGTGGGTACCAGGCCAGAGGGTGTGGCGGGCTAGGGATGAGCCCTGGATTTGCCAGCCAGCAGCGCCAATCTCTTGTTTCAGGGAAGTCAAAGCACCAACCAGACTCTGAATGAGAAGGAAAACGCACAGACACAGAGCAGGATGGAGCAGCAGGGCAGACCCCTGAGTGTCCTGGCAACCAGCCCAGCTCCAGCATCCCCAGAGGGGCCAAAAGGGGAATCAGGAACTTCAACAGCCAGTCCGGTCCCTGGCTCTCCACAAAACACTGACTTGGTTCCCCTTGACCTCTCTTTAGGAGGCACCAGTAGCCCCTGGCCTGGGAAGAGTGTGTGTGTGCTCAGTCCAAGGCCTGGGGCCCAGGAGAGTCCTGTGTCCCCATCTGATGGTTCCGAGCAGCCGCTGGGGTGGAATGATCCCCAGGCTGAGCAGGAAGTCCAGACATGCTCCGAGCCACAAAGAGGAGCAGGGCCCCTAGAACCCAGAAAAGACAGGTCTGGCAAGGCTGGGGCCCAGCAAAGCCTGGCACCGAGAAGCAGGCCCCCCAGAGGAACTGGCCAAAGAGCGAGGGGCACAGGAGGTGTGAGGACCAGAAGAGGGGGCCCTGGCCCTGCAGGGAGATGCTGAGCAAAGCTCCTGGGAGCAGGGGCACCAGGCTGGGGAGAGGAGGGAAGAACACAGACAAGAGCCTTCTTTGTGATGGGTGTCTGGTTGCTGTGGCTTGTGGCAGTCTGGCTGAACAGTTTGGCAAACTCTGGCACAGTGACATTGTGAGGGCAAGGAGCTGTCCTTTCCTGCACCTCATGTGCACATTCCTGTGCACGTGTGTGTTTTCACCTGCAGGTGCAGCCCCTGATATATTCCTGTGCCACATCTGGTCTGACTGGTAAGCCCTGTGTTGGGTCTACTGCTGCCAAGGCCACAAGCTCCTCCCTACCCGCCATGGCGAGAGGGCAAGGCTGAGAAGCACTTAGCACTGGCTTGTGTGGCCTCCCTTTCCAGCCTCCAGCTCCAGCTTCCAGCTCCTCAGGTGCAGGCAGCCTCAGCAGCTGGCATGACCAGTCCAGGCCTGGGCCCTTTCCCTCACCTCTGCCCTGCACCCAGATGACTCACAGCCCTAGACTCAAAGGGTGGCCAAACCAGGGAAATCTCACCAATCAACCAGAAGCCTTTTGCCTTTCTGGAAGAGGAGGCTGAGGCCCAGAGAAAGGGAGGCCACTGCGGGCAGGGGCTGAGCTGGGAATAGAAGAACAGAGCTCAGGTCTCCCCTCGAAGGAATGGGGTGAGGTTGGGTGGGGAGGGGACAGCCTCCTCTCCCCACAGTAAGGTGGGAGAGCTTACCAGCAGGGATCCCCTCCCCCACACCAGATCAGACATTGAGTGCACTCTAAATGGAGATCAGGGAGCAGCCCTGCAGCCCAGGCTCGCTGCACCATCTTGCTGCACCATGGTCAGGCAAAAGTAAGGACTCAGACAGGATCTCAGAGAGAGAAACAGCAACTCCAGCTAAGTATGACATCAAGACTTGTTTTTCCTACTTAAGTCTCCATTCCTGCCCCTCCTCTGAGGCCCATGTCTGGTGAATTATCCAGACTCCGCACAAGCTGTGGCTTCCTCTCAATTCAACAAACATTTCCTGAGCACCCACTACCAGCAACGCAGCTGGTAGGCGATAGTGACTTTGCCAGCAAGAGGGAGGGAAGAAACCTAGTTATCCGGCAGATCCAGGCTGCACAGCAGGAGCCCTTCTTGGCTGTAGGTGCCTGACAGGGTACAGGGGCTGGGATGGTGGTAGAAGCCCAAAGGGAGCCATCCCACCTCTGCTGGCAAGGGCAGGTACCCCTCCCTTTCTCATCACATGTACCCTTTGCCCCCAAGTCCTTGCCTCCCCATGTGGTCCCCTCTGCCCCCCTCCTCTGTGGTTCTGCCATGGTTGTTCCCCTCTGCTGAGAGTGCCAGGCCCCCCCCCCCAGGTTCTCTAGGGAGTATCCGGACTGTCCCCAGGATTTCTCCATTGTCAAAGTGAGGCCTTTCCCATGAGGTCTCAGCTTGGGCTTCCTCACTGGCTCTCGCTCCACCCTTCCCAACTATTCAGGAAGCCTGAGGAGGGGATCAGACTGTTTACAGCAGCGTTTCTCTCATGTAAGGTGCAGAGTGATGCAGATTGTAATTCAGTAGGTCTGGGGAGGGCTGGGAATTTGCATTTCTAATGCATCTCCAGGTGATGCCTATGCTGCTGATACCTGGACAGCACTTAGAGCAGTAAGGGTTTGGACTATGGAGAGCTGGGCTCAAAGACAGACTAGGCTTGTTGCTGGCTATGTAGGGAGGAGGAAGCATTGCTCCTGTTGGTGGAGCTTCTTGGCTATAGAGCTGGGTGGGAAGCTGGGGCAGCTAGGAAGATGCTTGAGAGGCCAGTGAGTGGTGGTGCCAATGTCCGGTAGCAGAGAGTGAGAAAGCTGGGTGGGAAAGGGGCAAGGTGAAGAGAGTGGAAGAAGTTGGTGTGGGGTTGATCAAAGGGGTTTGGAAAAGGCTTGGGAACAATTCTATGCATATGGGAGGAAGACCCCTGTGAAATGAATAGGCAAGAATGAAAGAATCCCAGCTCAAGTTTTCCTCTTGGCTTCCAGTCACACAAATCTGCCTTTGGAGCTTTGCTCTGGCCCTGGAACCCATGACTCCCAAAGGATGGAGCTGGGGTAGGCAGAGCCTTTGAATGCAGCTGTCTCCAAAAATAATTGTGATCAAGAACTTAAATTATAAGATTCATAAACTGCTCCCAACCCCCAATGCTTCCAACTGTACAGATGTGCCTTCATTTGAGGGTGTGCCAAGGCATGTTTGACTGTGGGGTGGGGATTTAGTATTTTGGAAGAGCTCTGGTTCAGCTCTCACAACAGGACATAAGCAAGAGAAAAAGCTGGGCTGAAGGGCTATGGAGAGATAGGGCTCCTCTCCCTGAGGGTAACATCCAGAAGGAGGTTAGGAGAAAGGATGTCATGGGAGTCACTAGGGGCTGGAGAGAAGACTGGCACAGGACATCTTCACTGGAGGAAGACTGTAGGGCAAGGTAATTATCACTGAGCTTTAATAAAAAAGGGGAGCCCTTCTTCAGAATAAGGGGAACCAGCAGCTATGAGGGCCAACCCTCCTGCTCTAGGGTGGAACCCGATATGAAGCAGGCGGGAAATGTGGATAGATATCCCTCCACCCACCTTGGGGTCGTGGAAGACTGGATTTTTTTCTCTTCCTGGATCCTTAAGGCCTGGTTGGGAGCCTTCCTCTTAGAATCCCTTCTGCTCTCCAACCAACAAACAAGATTGCTCTTAGAAGTGGGAAGTTCTTCATGAGACACGGCTATCAGGAACTCAGGCACAGAGCTGAAGGAACTGAGACGGGAGGGAGCAGAGGGTAGTGGGAAACCAGCAGGGAGATGACAGCTTTACCTAAGGTCTCATAACAAGGAGAGCAGAAGAGGCGGGAGGCATCCTTGTCCTGGGCCCATCTCACTTCGCAGAGGGGAGCAGCAGACCATATTGCAAGAGAGCTACGTGTGTTATTTTTGTTTGACATTTTTTTATTGAGTTTTAGAGAAAGGAAGGGAGGGAGAGAGAAACATCAATGTGACATCGATAGGTTGCCTCCTGCACCCCCTGCACTGGGGATCAAGCCTGCAGTCTAGGCATGTGCCCTGACCTGTCCAGAAACTGAACCTGGCAACACCTCAGTGCACAGGATGACACCTAACCGACTGAACCAGGCTGGCCAGGGTGGGAGGTATGTTTTTTGATGATAGGAAGCATAGCAGAGTGGGTCATACATGGGCCTTGGAATCTGACAGACTAAATCTGGATCCTGTTTGCCATATGCTAGCTGGATGACCTCAGTCAATTTAACTTCTAAAAGCCTCAGTTCTCTTATCTGCAACATGGGGCTAGTATTACCTACCTTGAAGGGTTGTTCAGAAAATTAAAGATAAGGGTATGCAAAATATGCCTGGCACACAGTAGGCACTCTATTAACAGTAGCCCGGCACCCAGAAGGCACTTAGTAAATATCTGTTGAATAAATGAAGTAGCTATTTGCTGTGATCTCGGTCTACTTTGTTTCCCATCTTTTCCTTTGCCTTCTTTTTTAGTCTCATTTTCATTGGGTTAATACACTCTCAGGGACACAAGAGGTGGTTTATAATGTTTACTAGCCTTCCAGGTCAGTGAGCTGCTTTCATCTGGGGAAGTCTAGTTGAGAAAAAGCCTCAGGAAGTGACCCTTTTCTTACAGGGAGGGTTCTTTGTCCCCACCCAGCAGTGGGATCTAAGGATGTCCTAAGCATTTCTGCCTAACTTTGCACGTTGACTCCCACAGCTCAGATGGTTCCTCTTGTCCTCTGTTCACCACAGTAGGAATCTCATGAACTTCCACCAGTATTTACTTCTTTAATGTTTCCCCCCAAAACAAACTCGACTTGCGGAGTTTGCTCCATGCCTGCTGGTGTTAAGTTTTGTCACCCAATAGAGCAGCATGATTATATTTTCTTATGGTCAGGGGATGGGAAATTGGGGATCCCGGGAAGCAGGGGCTCCCCGGCTACCTAACAAGGCTCAAGTTGGGAAGGTTTGACCACTAATTAACTCCAGTCCCAACCCTGGCCTCAGCGACAAGAGTAACAGGTGAAGATGGTACTAGCCCCCCAAATGAACAAAGGAAACAGCAAAAATCTCCTTATCTTTTTATTTTGGGGACTGAATCAGAGGGGGTCAAGGGAATAGGAGAAACTAAAGACACCGACCATTTCAATTCTGCCTCTTGAGTCATTTATCAGCGTCTACAGACTCCAGCAAGCATCTCACCGAGCGAGGGTTATTGGGGCTAATGAGGAAGGGTTGGCACTGGGTGACCACAACCTCACTGAGGGGGAGCATTCAAGGCTGGAAAAGGCAATGAGAGGAGCCAGCATAAGGCCCAGACTGAGGCTGCTTTTTCTCAACAAGTCTGCTGGCCCACGTCACAGCCTCTCATTAAGCATCCACTTGACACTAGGGAAGTGAAATTGCACAGACCTGGCACCAGAAGGAACAAATGTGGCACCCACTACTCCTTTTAAGGACTGGCTCGAGGAACAGCAGGCCTCAGGGAGGAGGTGAGGCAAACACACCAGTACCTTTGCGGGAAGGGGAGGGAGGAGTCTTTCAGGCCTGCTCCTTCTTAACAAGCTCTCCAGGGCAAGTTCTGCTGCACTGTCAGAAATAACCAGCAATGTAGGCTTTTCCCCTTGTCTCAAACTCTGGGGACACAGCATTTCTTTTCTCCCGAGCAGGGCAGCTGGCTTCAACCAAGAAAGAGGATCAGAAGTCCCCTTGATAGCAGTCTGTCAGAACAGAAATACCCTGAGCCCTGTACACCAGCTTTGTCCTGTACACCAAGAGGTGGCAGGTTCGATTCCCAGTCAGGGCACATGCCTGGGTTGTGGGTTTGATCCCCGGATGGGGTGCATGCAGGAGGCAGATGATTGACGTTTCTCTCTCCCTCCTTCTCTCTGAAATCAAAATATAATTAAACAAACAAACAAACAAACAAACAGAAATACCCTCACCTAAGTTACAGGTTCAGAGGGAAAGGCTGGGCCAG